TGTGTATTCGGAGGTGGTAGGCTAACAGGCCTAAATAGCCTCTTGGACCGAAGCGAGGGCGGACCCAGCGACACGTGACCCGCCGGGTACTAACAGAACGAGGTCGTGCCACCTGTATACTCATCTTTTTTGACTCCCTCGACCTCATATTTTCTTTCCACAATCCGACTCACCTGATTCACACGGCAAAGATGGCTTCAGAGAGTATTTCTGTCCCTCGCAACAAGCGTTGGTCCGCTGTCTCGGCCTCCGCCAATGCCGACATGGCATATCAAAAGTTCCTGAAGGAAACTCCAGATGCATATGAGTATGTGTGCGTCTGCAAACAACCGGGTGGTGAAGACGACGAGGAAGAGGAGAGTGAAAACGGGAAAAACCAACCGATCGAGTGTGACGGAGGCCAAACCTGTCTGTGTCGCAAGCCGGCTGCCGATCATCCTGATCATCCGTGGACGCTTACCAAGGCTGCCATGGATAAATTGACCACGTACCGCATCATGGTGGATCTGCGTGATCCGGATTTATTTTCTATGTACACTTTCAACGACCATTCCGGTTACGGCGCGATCGAAATGGCGCAGAATCTGCTGCTTGATTTCCAGGAAGCCTCGGGCAATTGGCAAGAGCAGTGGGTGGTGTGTGAAACGCTCGCGTTGTTGCTTGTTGGCGACTGGCTTGCACCCATGAATATGTAGGCTTATTATCCCAGTTGGGTTGGGGGGGGCGTTGATTGATTTGCGAATCAGTGAACTAAATCTTAACAGGGTCGACAATGGGGATCTTGCCCAAGAGACAGTGATTCTGCTTGAACATATGTTCCTCACCATGCTCGCTGAGCTCGAGAAGCAGGACTCTCTGGGCGCCAACTCTAATGTTCGTAATCTCGGTTTGATAATGGGATTTTATGCCAGTAAAGCCAGTGAGGTGCACTCCGCCGGCTATGTCAACACGGACACCGACTCAGAGGCGAAGACGTATCGAGGACAGAATTTTGTGCCCTATCTGCTCGGATATACCCGCAAACATAACATCGCCATGCACGGGCCGTCCGATATTGATAAGATCATTGCCGAGGGTGAGGAGGAGGCAGAAGAGAACGACGTCAAACTTCCAACTGCCAAGAAAGACCCCTGGAAATGGGCGACGGCTTTCAGGGCATACGAGCGTAAGAACCAGGCCGCTTCCCATGGTAGGCGCCGCAAGACAAAGATTGGTGGTGACTCCCTGGACATTACCACCTTTTCCAGTCAGGAGCGCAAAGCAGCGAGTTTCACCAAGAAAGATCCATTGACTGCAGACATGATCAAGGCGATCAAAGAAGGGTTGGTTCTTCAACTTGCATAAGTGATGGAGACTATATTCCCTTCTTCTCATTTCTCAGGAATGGTGGTGGGATAAAATAATAATAAAAAAAAAAAAAAAAAAAAAAAAAAAAGCCGTTGGGTTTAGATAAAGGACCGTTAGCTCTATGGTGGTGAAGATATATTATTATTATTATTGTTGTTGTTGTTCATATACGCATCTGTCAGCCCTGTAGGCCGGCATGGCTGAATTGAATATGCTCACACAAATTGTGGGATCCAAATATAAACAAATTGATCAAATCTGAAAGAACTATTGCTGAAGGTATTTTAACACCTCTAACTAATGGGTGGTGTGGTTCCTCTATCGCTTGGTGATTTTTGTCTGCCTTTCCGAGAGCTTAACATGTGGCTTAAGTACGGCTGAGTGCATGGGAAGCCCTGTTTTCCACACCCTATGGTCGTATGTACTGGTTTTCTCTTGAGAATAGTATATATATCGTACAGCCGGAGCAGGAAATAATTTTCAGAACAATACATGCTTGAGCACTACCAGTTCAAAACAAGCCCATAGCTGTTTGAAGCATGCCAATTCAGAAATCCCGGGCTTTCTTCTCCCTTTGGGGTTGAGTTCAAGTCACTTCGCCTTCGTCGCGGGTCCCCGCTCACCTGCACGATTCTGATTCTGAGCACTCCCAGTGCGAGGACTTCCCGTTTTCGGATATTGAATCGTATCCCTGGTGTCAACATTGCACACCTAGTGCTAGAAGTTATAGAGATCGCACCCCTATCACCCACACCCGCCCCAACTCTTGCTTTCAGAATAATATTGGAGCCAAGGGCTTTTTGAGAATTGACCGTGCGGATTCTATGCGGCTTAAGTTTGGTCAATAGTTGGGTGGGTGCCTCCCGGGTGAGTTAGAGGGTGATGCGGTGATGCCTTAGAGAGCAAAGAGGTTTTTAGGAAAAAAGCAATATGCGTTAGTGACAACCGTGCTCCTGCTTGCTACCCAATTTTCCCTCGGCATCTCTTCCCAAACCTCAGAGCGTCTTTTATCACATGGAAATTCTCCAGAGAGGTTTTTCTTTATTTTCTATTACTTTTAAAACCAAGAACTGGCTCCCAAAATCAGCATGTCAGATCGAAAACTCGGAGTATCACTCTCTGAGAGAGCAGGTAAAAGACAAAGGCAATGCCTAATCTCTGTACAGGAGGACAGCACGGACGAGGATTCCAGTTCTGAAAAGCTCCACGAAATATCTGCTGAAAGTATTACAATTGCGATCTTCTGTGCTCTGTCATATGAAGCTGTTGCAGTCAGATACAGCCTGTATCAAGAATTTACATGTCGTCCAAAGAGCATCGGTCCAATGAAGTATGTGTACTCTTTCGGGCGCATTGGGGAGCACAATATTGTGATAGCTCGGCCTCTTCAAATGGGAACTGTGAAGGCCGCCCAATGTGCAGCAACTGTCAGCCAACAGTTTTCAAATGTCTGATTCGCCTTGATGGTTGGCATTGAAGCCGGCATCCCCAACCTCCCCAAGCAGGACATCCGCCTAGGTCATATCACTGTCAGTATCCCTCAAGACAATCATTCTGGTGTGGTGCAGTATGATTTTGGCAGATATGAGCAAGACGAATTTGTTTTTAAAGGGTCTCTTGATAAACCTCCACCGATCCTAATAAGTGCAGATGGATCATTGGAAGAAGATGAAATAATGAACAAAAGGCCCCTTAGGAAGATTTTAAAAGAAATCACCAAAAATCATCAATTTGCTCGACCTATTGTGAATGATGTTCTTTTTGAAAATGATTTTCACCACATCAATAAGGGTGCTGATTGCGGTGGATGTGAAGCATCCAGTGAAAAGAAGCTTGTGCCACGACCTCTATGCCAGCAACAGCAGCCAGTGATTTATCAAGGCCTCATTCTTTCGGGTAATGGAGTTGTTAAAGATCCCGCACATCGAGACCACCTACATCGAGATTACAACACCGCAATCTGTTTTGAGATGGAGGCAGCTGGCATTGTGTATGAGATCCCATGCCTAGTGATTCGAGGGATATGTGATTACGCCGACACCCATAAACAAGATGGGTGGCATTATTATGCTGCTGCAGTTGCGGCCGCTTATTGCAAGGCTCTCCTTCGTAAAGCCAATGGTCAGGATGCGGAACAGACAGGGAGCATGAAAGAATTGATTGAAGGCCTGGACGGTTTGACTGAAAAAATGAACAAGATTTAGGATACACAGAGGCATGGTGTGTTCACTTAATGTATGCTAGTTGATTAAGTGAGCTAACAATATAAAGCATTATTTACAGCCAAGTTGCCAATTACAGCAGGGGCGGCATTTGACTCCTATGATAATCAACATGTTGAATGTCTTCCAGGAACCCGAGTTGAGCTGCTTCAAGAGGTTGGAGATTGGGCAAAATCACCAAGCGGAAAATGCATATTTTGGCTGAATGGCATGGATGGGACTGGAAAGTCAACGATCTCGCGAACTGTTACAGGCCGTCTTAAACAACAGCATTTACTCGGAGCGAGTTTCTTCTTTAAGAGAGGTGAAGGAGGCACAGCAAAGAAGCTTTTCCCAACATTGATAGAGCAACTGGTCATCAGCATACCTCACATGCTTCCTAAAGTCCGAAAGGCAGTCTGTCACGGGCTCGGAATAGTAGATATTAACGAACTGAATTCCTATCTAAACTATTGTAGCCATCGACGAGAATATCGAATCTGGGGGGAAAAGAGAAAAGAAAATCTATCTAGAGGAAGAAGGGGTTTTATAGGCGTTTGCTTGACATCACTAATGTCTTGTCTGGCGTGTCGGTTGTCGATGCAGCGTTGAGCCGTTGATGCTGCGTCAAACCGTCACAATTGGGGTTGTCATAGACCAGAGATAGTTGGTCAAGGATGGTATTATAGTCCCAGGTGTTGGTGTCTTCTGCATAAGATAACCGGGGAAGAACTAGAGCTTGGACTTTGCTTTCCAGATTTAGATAGACATAGTAGAACTGAGCCACTGCATCACCTATAGCTGGAACATCAATCATAAGCTTAGCCTTCATGGCTGCAAGCCAGGTATCAAACATCAAAGATTGACCGTTGAATTTCTCGGGATCTGGGAGTCATGGTTTCGAACGATGGGGTGGTTTGGGTTGATTTTTGATGGACTCGATTTCTCTCCGGAGGGCTTCGATCGTGGAAGAAAATTCGTTTCGGGGGGCTTGATAGGGGTCTATATTAAAAGAAGTAATAATCAATCGATAAGAAGGTCTTGAAAAAAAAAAAAAAAAAAAAAAAAAAGGGATCAGTTTGAGACTTGAAAAACTTGAGAACTTGAGAATACTTGAGTGTGCCAGCTCTGTCACGACATCTGGACTTTATGGAGAATGGACTTGAATTTAAGTGGAAATTACTGTTATATCCTGGCCAGCTCCCAACTGCGGCACCAGCAAAATCTCTTGATGGGAGCCTTTGGTATTTCCCTCCCTAATGTATAAAAGGAGGAATGAGGATGTTAATTATTATGTCACGTGCTCAAACTAGGATAGTGGAACATCCTTCTCATGGGTTCTACTTACCAAAACGGACTCCAGTTGGCGATTTATTCGCAAGGGCCCTAATCGATACAGGTAACGACTGACATTGGTCAAGCAATATTCGCAGGTGGTATGTATAAGAAATCCCTAATCTTCCTAGCGACTGCTAACAAATGCCAAACTCCAAAGGAAACCTCAGTGGTTTGGTCCAAAAACTCATGTCCACTACGAAAATGACCTCAATAGATGAGATGAAAACAAGCTGGTTGATCAGTCAAGACCCATCTCGCCAGGAAGTTTACATGTTTGTCTCCTTTCCTACACTCGTATTCTGAAGCTCTTCTAATGTCTAAATAGTATCCGAAGTGCAGCCTATCTGACCTCTGTTCTTACATGCCGTGGTACTCAGATATCCCAGCTACATCTAGTACCCAATGGCGATGGAAAGTGGACTATTAACAAGACACGTAAATAGGCTCCTCTGGCCACCAGGAATATATGCCCAGTGACTATCACCTCAACATTATTGTGCTCTGTTAGGGTCGTTTGTACAGTGTATATCTTGGCCGTCCTGTCACTCCTTTGTCGCCTGGATAGTTGCTCTTTTTCTTCTTCTTCTTCTCCAAATTGGATATCCTCGTCAATAGGCTGTCTTATCTAGAAAGGAATGAAACATTCGTTTTATCTACTAGTATCGAGCCATGACAGCCAGATGGGCTAGTATCAACCGATAGTGCCATATTCTAGTGCAAGAACACAAGAATAAACTAGTCGCGAAACCGAATTCAAATTGTACTTAACGATCATACCGTATAAATAGCAAGATAGTTTTCCATTACATCGATAGTTGATAGGACTAATTTCAACGCTATATAACCAAAATCTCAACTATCACAACTGTCCGCCATCGCATTATTGCAGCTTGAAAAACCCCCTCCATAAGCCCTTGGAGGCAAAGATACCGTGTGGATCCACTGCCCTCTGGACCTCTTTCAGTCTCTGCACGTTTTCATCGCCGTAACCACCAAAGACCGCATCAGCCTGTGCAGCAGACGCGTAGTTTATGTACAGATATCGGTTCGCAACCCCCGAATCCTTGGCCGCCGCCTCGACTCTGCGAACGATGTTTGCAGTCATTTTCTCGACAACGGAATCGTCGCTCCCATTGGACCATGCTGTAGAGATAAGGATAACTAAAGACCACGTTAGGAGACGTGGAGATCGAGGATTGAGAATGACTCACTGAAAAGCGGTTCGTCGCGCTCGATGCCGAGAGCATTACCGCCTCTTTGCTTCATGGCCGCGATGGCATTCTTTTGTAACGGGTAGCAAATAAAGTTGGGGACTAGACCGGGCACAGTCTTTATAGCCTCGACTTCTTGCTGGAAGATTCGGAGGCCTTGCGAGAGTAGGGAACGTGATGGAGAGACGCTCAATGTAGCGAATAAATTCCTACCACATAGATGAGTGGTAAAGAAACGCAAAGAAAAGAAAGGAAAGAAGAACTTACCGGGTAGTACCCATCGGGGTAGACTCGTTTACCAGGCTGCTAAAGCTGCTTATTGTTATGGACCGACTTAGCGTTGGTATCTGGTCGATTGCATGGAAGACCGGGGGATTCCGAACTGGCTTCCCGTAGCGTTGTGTGCCCATCAAGATAAACTCATCACTGTCGGAGACATAGGTGTAATACAGGTCATAGCCTAGCTCAACATCACTGGTAAGGTCCTTATCCGTGTATAGGTCATACACTTTGTCAAGAACTTGCTCAGACTGATTGGCAGAGTAGGATGTCATGCTGGTGAAGACAGGCCCCTGGGCAAACGTGCGAACAGTAAAACTCGTAACAATGCCGAAATTGTTACCGCCACCCCGGAGGGCGAAATAAAGGTCAGGGTTGTGAGACTCAGAGGCAGTGGTGATTGTACTGTTGGCAAGCACAACCTAGTCCTGCGTCAGAGACCAATCGATCTTGAATAACCCTCGGTGCACATAAATACCTCATACTCGTAAACATTATCCAATGCCCAGCCATACTTGTTCGACAACGGGGATGTTCCTCCGCCCAGTGTAAAGCCTCCCAGGCCGACAGTTCCTACCCTGCCGCCAACAAATGACAGGTTGCGAGATTCCAGGGCAGCGTACACTTGGACAGTATTTGCGCCACCTCCAACACGTGCCCTGGTGCCTTTTTCCAGCACCTCGACATTTCTCATCCGGTCCAAGTCCACAGTGACACCGCCCACTGAATTGGAATCCCCAGGGTTTCTAGAGTGGCCGCCACCCTTTACGGAAAAGTAGCACCAGTGGTCCACAAGAATGGACAGGATCTTAGAAACATCGATGGCACTAGAAGGCTCAACGCGACAGGCTGGGTGAACTTCCTGTTGCTTCGCGTCCCAGATTGTGAAATTGTCGCTGCCGGGGTAATGTAGGGCAGGGCCGAGGGTTGTGGAAAGTCGGGCACACTGAAGATGGTCAATATGTTGAACAAGAAGAAAGGCATTTGAAGAAACATACTGCTTGTTGACAGTTGCCGGGCACTGTCTGGTTCACATCATAAGCAGCTGCGTTGGCCACAGCAAGAAAGTAGGCAACTGAATCAAGAATTCGCACCATAATTAGCTGAAAAGATCCGAAAGTTCACTCTGGAATTCAATTGACGAGGACATTTTGCGGGCCATTTTATATATGGCTCCTCCAGTGTTGTCCATACTACCCCAGAGTATGGAATACACAGTAGTACCGCATTAGGATAGATATTAACCTCTGGTCTAACCCCGGTCTAACCCCTATATGGTAAAGCGTCATGCAGGTGTGTGACAAAGTGGGTCTACGCTAGCCTTACTAGGTTGCCACTATTAGAGTGGAGTACCCCGTCTCTTCTTCCTTTTTCCCCTCTCCAATTTCCACTTTCTGTCATCAAAGTGCATATCTGATTGCAATCATGAATGACCACGGTCTCCCGGTACATGAGAAACAGATTGCTTTACAGTCGTTCACGCAGCGCGTTGGTGCTTGGCCGGATGACGATTGGTCCGGCATTACCGATCCGAGACAGCGCCGGAAGCTGCAGAATCGTCTGAACCAAAGAGCTCGACGTAAGTCCAATTTTGGCCAATCGGTTATTAAGTTGGTATATCGCTCATCGCTTTGAATATGCGCACAGGGCTACGGAACAAAGGCGATAGTGAGACGCAACAGTCGTCGTCAGCGGCACTTGATGCTGCATACCCGGAGACGTCGCCGACGGATACCACTATTCACGCAACATCCTCGCCTACTTTGTTGCGGGAAATTGACAATGTGCATATCCTACACCTAGACTTTCCAGAGACCAAAGCGTTGATGCAACATCTGGAGAGCATAGCACACTACATGCTTGGTTCTCCACGTACCGATCTTCTACTCCATCTTACCCAGCTCAATTTTACCCGGGCACTCATGGAGAACACTAGAATCCTGGGACTCACCTCGGACAAATTACACGACGATGCCATCTCCCCGTTTAACACCACTGGACTATGGCAATATGACTTCGAGTATTGCCTTCCTTCCACTCTTCAGCCCACCATGACCCAGCGCTCTATAGAGCACCATCCATGGCTGGACCTGATTCCTATTTCGCAAATGAGAGATAATTTAATCCGTGCTGGAGAGTCATATGATGAAACAAAACTATGCCTTGACATGAAGGGGAGTGGAAGTGTTCGCGATGGAGGAGCAGGTATTATTGTCTGGAGAGACCCTTGGGATCCATCGGGGTGGGAAGTCACCGAAGCATTTGCTCGCTCTTGGGGTTGGGTCATCTGGAACTGTCGCGACCTGTTCCAGTCTACAAATCACTGGCGGGCAAAGCGGAACGAGAAACCGTTGTTTCGGACGTGATTGTACTTTTTAGCCAGAACAGCTTGTGTTTTAGAATTACGACGGAATACGAGGCATTGGCGGCCAAAAGAAACGGACACCTTGGAATCTCCGTAGTAGAATTATCTTTTGTCCTTAAGCGGAAAGTGGCTCAAGCTCAACCCGCTTGTCATCAGGTTGCATTAGCCCTTCCCAGGTTCCGTGGATACACCCTACCTACCGATGACGCACAGTAATCGACATAAACTATATAAATGAGAGGAACCTGTCCCTCCAGGGCAATAAAATTCTTCCTGATTAACGTGATCTTTCACCAACACGATGTCTGCCTTTGCCCTCGCACCAAAGCCAGCCAGCTTGCTCGGCTACCACCGAGTACTAGCGCCCACTGCCGGCGTCAAAGTATCGCCATTATGTCTTGGGACGATGAACTTTGGCACTAAATGGTACTGTCCCTTACGGAAATATCTGGAAATAAATACTAACCAAGCTGCTGTTGTAGGGAGGATTTCATGGGTGAATGCAGCAAGTCGCAATCCTTTGCAATCCTGGACGCTTTCTATAAGCTCGGTGGTAATTTCCTTGATACGTTAGTGGGAACCGCGATCATGCTGGAATCTCTCGAGTTGACTGTCTATATAGGGCGAATAACTATCAGAATGAGGAGTCTGAGATTTGGCTGGGCGAGTGGATGAAGGAACGTGGGAACCGCGATCAATTAGTGTAAGTGCACCTATTATACCATCCTTGAAAGCGAGGCATATGTACTTGTACTAACAAACCCAGCATCGCAACAAAATACACAACTGGATTCCGCACATCGCACCGTGACACTGAGCCGCTCCAATCCAACTTCGTGGGCAACTCAATAAAAAGCATGCGCATCTCAGTCGAACACAGTCTCAAGAAACTCCAAACAGACTACATCGACCTGTTATACGTGCATTGGTGGGACTTCACCACGTCCGTCGAAGAGGTCATGCACGGGCTAAACGCTCTTGTCCTCTCGGGCAAGGTTCTGTACCTCGGAATCTCAGACACCCCAGCTTGGATTGTTGTGAAAGCAAACGATTACGCGCGGGCTAATGGGTTGCGCCCGTTCTCCGTGTACCAAGGGAAGTGGAATGCCGGGTTCAGAGATCTTGAAAGAGAGATTATTCCTATGTGCCGGGACCAGGGGATGGGGATTGCCCCGTGGGCGCCACTTGGACAAGGTAAGTTCAAGACTGCTGAGGCCCGTGGCACCGGTGAAGCTGGCAGCACAAGGGCATCCAATATGAGCGACAGCGACATCAAGATGTCAGAAGCGCTGGAGGCAATTTCCAAAAAGAAGAACACCAATCTCCATGCCATTGTAAGTCCCACATTCCACAACTTAGCCAACTGAGCTAGCCCTCGCTAACCTTCTCGATAGGCGCTCGCATATGTCCTCCACAAAACGCCCTATGTTTTCCCTATCATCGGGCAGCGAAAGATTGAACACCTGGAAGCCAATGTCGACGCCTTGAGCGTGGCACTCTCCGATGAGGATCTCGACGAGATTGAGAGCGCGGTTCCCTTTGACATGGGATTCCCGATGAATTTCATTTTCCGAAACGGCGGTTCGAATAACACTGCCGCAGACGTCTTTCTGACTCAGGTATCTGCGCATATTGACGCACCGCCGCACCCTTCGCCGGTCAGTCCTCGTCAACTATAATTTGTCACGGTATCTAGTCGCTTCTTTGTACTTTTTATACATTGAATATGCTATCTTTGTTTTGTTCCATTATTCATGAGACTGAGCTAGAAGTACTGCAGTTGAAGAGATGTTTCAACATCCTGACTGATCATCATCATAATATTACATGACAACAAAGAAGCTATTAGACAGAATTCCTCTGCAGAAAAGCCATACAGACTAGACCAATGATAGGATCCTGCCTCTTTGCTGGGTAAGAGTGCCAGCTTTATAGCTTGGACTTGGTAGCTACCAACAATCAATAACTTACATTACTGTTCCTGAATAGTGCCAGGGCCGGGTCTTAATCTACCGCCAGAACCTGAATGTATCACCTTGTAGCCTTTTCTGATCTGGGGTTGATTGATAGCAGATTAACGAGAACTTTTTTTTTTATATGGAGGTATTTCTGATTGAAAAAACTATTGATTGTAAAAGGCTATATTCAGATACTCTGGCACCCATCATCTAACTATGTACATAGAAAAAGCACTGTAGACACGCGTCGAAAATGGACAGGAATCAGGGCTTCTAACTAATCGTGACTAATTCGCCAATTGGGCTGCCAACATATATTGTACGGCCCATCATATTCATACCCAAAGCGCAGTCACTCCTCAGTTCTTTGCACCGCCTTCTCTAAATCCTGGATTTTCCCCTTTAGGAACCGCAATTTCCGCCGAATATTCTTCTCCTTCGCCGGTGAAGATAAGAGAGTCGTAGACAAAGCCCCCACAGAGTCCTCCGGTAATGACGGCCGCCTAGGGACCCCAGATCCACCATACGTCGTGATCCCGGAACACGTGGCCGCCCCAGCCGGCCATGACGGCTACCAATCGAGGGCCTAAGTCTCGCGCGCCGTTGAAGCATCTGAGTAAGATAGCACATAAGTTACACTTCAGAATCAGACAAGGACAGAAATCGTGGTAACGACCTTACCCTCTAGTGTTGTAGCCTAGGGTTAAAAACATTGCACTGATCAGTATCCGCCAGATATGCCTCCCACCACGTAGATGCCAATCATGGAGGCGCCCCATGTGAGTGCAATGGACGGGTAGGTGCTAGCCTGATTGTTCGAATTGTAGGTGGATTGGCTGGTGCAGAGGCCCAAAGCCATAACAACGGTCGTGCCAAACCACTCGGCCAGCTCCTTCCGGAAGTAGTATCGCAATTTGCTCCAGCAATTGTGGAAGCCCCGATCATCGGGTTGGGCCACTCTGATTCCAGGACGGTCTTCCTACTCGTTACTGGCACCTCTGCCAGTGCCTCTTGCGCGGCTGGGACAGGTCTTTGGTGGTCTCTGGATAACTTGCCTTGCTCTTCTTTGTCCTCGTCTTTGGCCGCACTTTCCGGTTGCATCCCAGGGCGCACGACCCTAGGTAGTGGCTGGGCTAAACTTCATACCGGTTCACGGTTTTCTTCATTGTAGTTGGGGTTGTACTGGATATACTCGGGGTCAACATAGGCGACTGGCTGCTTTTGCGCTGGGGGTTGGGGCTCGGCCAGCGAGAACATTTTGCTGTCCCGCCGGGATTGTTCCTGTTGCTTTTCCTGGCTACCTTGGGGTCGTTTGAGAAACAGCTTCACGGGAAGAACCTTGGCTCGGTTGAGGCTCTTCATTGCGTTTTAGCATGGATCCAGGAATAGGGAATGTAATCCGTACCCTGACTGCCATGGGTCATCTTGTATGTACCCACTGTGCAACTCGGCAAGTGAATTATTCAACTAAGTACTCAATGGCTCAACGGAGAAGTGCACCGATTTACAGGAACAACTGTTTTATCACTCCTTGGACGATAACCCGAGCATGACTTGATCACCATTGTCCAGCGTGAATAACTCTGGTATAACTGCCAAGTCACACTTCAATCGGGGATGGAGAGGTCGACGTCATTCTGATACAGGGCATATGCAGCTTTGAAAAGGATATTGTCGACTAATATAACTGAATCGAGAGATCTGCTGGGATTAGTCACGAATGAGCGTCCTATTACGTGTAATACATGCTGTGTGGAGTTGATGCAGCCCTGATTTTCTCACGACAGCTGCTACAGGAACAGATACATTTCACGTCGCTTTCCAACTGCCAAGGATACATCGAGCCAAGACAAGAATCTACTGTGAAGATGATGAGAATAACGAGATTATGACACAGTCAACCTAAGCCTATATATCAATAATCAAAAATTTCCACCATAACCCTCTCCTGATCACAACAAAGCAGCTCCACAACATCGGCGTAAAAGATCTCAGTGACAGCAGCAGAACCATCTTGTCCACGCACATAAAAAGACCCAAAATTCGTAATATCTACCATAAGTTCCATATCTTGCTCCTTAGCTGTCAATCTGCCATTCAGGGTTGGCCATTCACCTTCTGACTCAAGCTGTATAAAGCAATTTCCTGGATTTCCGGGAGAAACGCGGAAAATTCGGTGTACTGGTTCCAGTTGGAACGCACATGCTGTTTGCTCTTCATCGGAATACCCTTTTGGATTGAAGAGACCGAAGGTGACATTTTGGTCTTCGTCATCAGAACCTGAGACCAGAAGTATCATTGGCGGTGACTGCGTGAGGTGGTTTCCGAGCTCACGAAGCTTATATACTCTATCAGACCAAGAGACTGATATGCCTTCCAGGAGGATATATTGTGGAAGCACGAAGCCGAGTTGGCTCAAGATGGGAAGATTGAAAAGCAATCCTGACGCAGGTACTCTCGTTGAATGGATGGAAGATACGCCTCTTTAGAGAATGCCTGCATCTCCGGTACCGAATAAGGCATTTTATCTTGAGGGAAGGGCCTGGTACAGACTAATGGGCCTAACAGCTGTGGCCAACCTACAAGTAGACATGGTTCTTATGGTTTGTTGAATCAGCACAGTAGTTCATATGGTAATTGGAATGTAGGGGCCATACTTACCATATCATTTTCAATGGCTCGATCAAATACATCGTAGGTAATGTCATGCCCCGACTCTCCAGGCCTGTAGAATGCTTCAAGCAGGCAGTCGGTGACCCTTTCTACCTGAACTAGACATTCCGCATTCACAAAATTGTGAACACCAATACCACTGTGATATAGATGCAAAACAATCATCAATCGTAGAAAAGATTGAAACTCTCCTCTAGGAATTGACTGATCAAAATCTCTTGACCAAGAAGAAGGGAAGTGTGAGGGAGGGGGATGCTCAGAGCCCAGAATCATCACTTTAGGATTATTAGGGTAACGACGCCGATTTCTGAGCTCATCGAGAACATCTGTTTAATGCTCATCATCGTATTCATCTCTATCCTTCTTGCAGATTTTTGCTCGGTCAAGGCTTGCCATACTCTGGAAGAAGATAGCTCGCTCTCTGGTACCAAAATAAGCCAAGTCAATATCCTCCAGTGAGTCGTTAAGAAGAATTACTGCAGTGCGCAAAACATCATGAGTGGAGAGTCCTCTGGGTCATTTTGATAATGATATGACGCGAAACGTAGCAGACATTGGTGCATAATTGGGATTGCGTCCGCGAGAATCGAAGTTAGCTCCGGGGGAATGGTGCTTGACATGAAGTCTGCTAGACTTGTTTCCGTCCAGACTGGAGCAAGTCAGTGTCAATCTCGGGTTTCACTTTCACAATTCTCGCGAGACTCATATTTCATTGACTCTGTCTGAGTGCAAAAGACATTGAATATGTTCTCAAACCAGCGTTTCTGGTCCATTTTCAGAGTACCCATAACTATAATTTGCTTTATAATTCCATATCTCCGAAGGAGCTCATCTGGGTAGTAACGGTCAGTACCAATAGAATCAGGGAAATTAAAAACATACCGCGTGTTTGTACAGGAGGAGGAAATTCGAAGTCTTCCGGTTGGGCCCTTGATTGTGATAAACCCATTGTGTTTCTACTGTATACTACTTACGTGCCCAGGGGCGGTTAAAGACAACCGTATTCCACCCGCGGAGATAGTGCATTCCAGTCTTCATGTTATCTAAAACCATCCACAACTCCCCACATACAATGTAGTCAAAGTATGCTGCATATTTCAACCCTGTCAAAGAACCATTTTCCAAACATTCCTTACCAGAAAACATGCACTTTACCAGTGCCAACTGTCTGCAACCAGGGAGAACTAGGGATTACTTTCAATAAAACCCACAACTTGTTGGTTTTCACAACGGTCTGCAACCATACCAAAGTCTTGGAGCAGTCACCATCCATACTCAAAACCATGAGACAGCGTGAGTAAAATTATGCATAATGGTCTCCATACAGTAAGGCATCCCTCTTGTCTTGTGTTAATAGTATCATGCTACCAGCTGATACTATTGCCAATCTATCTCCCTCTCTTTTTGATAGCGTGCACAGCTATGAAAATGTATGTATTATGATACTCAGTGGGTATATGTAGTAGCAAGCTGGAAAAGTCTTTCTCAAACATCTCATTATACATAATTAATGCGCCAGGGACAGAGTACTATATATGAGGATGTTGCTCTTGGCACACCACTACATGA